TGCTACTCACCAAAGTAGGATGTGGAACAATGTTTTGTGTAGTATGTTATGCCAATTGAGCTTGATGTCCCCTGCGACTATGGTCCTGAGCCCACAGGTCCAACTACTTGCTCCCTCTGGGTAGCTGGCTGTGGCCAACAAGTGACTACAACCTTGTCCCCTGTCAGCTCTACTATATACCTAGGAATTCTTATAGAACATACAAATATGCTTGTAGAAACATTGTCTGCCAACCCTATGCATGGTCTTAGGCACACTCCCCACTTCACAGACATACCTAATAGTTCAGCCTGTCCAGCCATCTATCCAACCATATATCAATGCTTGCCTTCACTGACAATGCAGTGCTGTATGTGCAAAAGGATTCATTTTTGTTGTCTGTACCTCCCATGTACCTCTCTATGTCTTCCTCTTCCTCAATGCCACCATGTTGATCACTCACATTTGGTACACTGCCCTTCTCTTTACCCAAATCAATACTTGTCTCTACCTATCTAACAGTGTTCTTTACCCTTCCCTCCCACCCCTGGTTACCTACAAAGAAAAATTCCTTCTATATATAAACCTTTCCTTGACTTTTTACAATAATGGACTAATACAATATTTGTCCTTCTGTGATTGACTTATTTCACTCAGTATAATGCCCTCCAAGTTCATCCACATTGTGTAGTGTTTTGCAGATTCTATGTCATTCTTTAGGGTTGCATAGTATTCCATTGTGTGTATGTACCATAGATTGGTTATCCATTCTTCAGTTGATGGACACCTAGGTTGTTTCCATCTTTTGGCTATTGTAAATAGTGCTGCAATGAGCATGCATGGGCATATATCTGTTCTTGTCCTGGCTCTCACTTCTTTGGGATATATACCTAATAATGGAATGGCTGGGTCAAATGGTATTTCTAATTTCAACTTTTTAAGGAATTGCCATACTTTCCACAAACAACCACTTTCCACAGTGGTTGTATCATTTTACAGTCCCACCAGCAGTGTATGAGAGACCCAATCTCTCCACATCCTCACCGGCTTATTAGTTTTTAAAAAAGAAAGTTTATCTGTTCTTTACTGTAAAAGTCACACTTGTATGTCCTTATGGGTGGATTACTTATGTATGTCTTCTGCGATTTATCCATTGGGGGTTTATTGTTTTTGCTGTTGAGGTGATTTGTGGCTCTTTGACTTTTGAAGTTCACCTCACTGGTTTTGCCACTGTTCTTTTTAGACTTTTATTGTTTGTATTGTTGTTGTTGTTAGGTGCTGTCAAGTCAATTCCAACTAATAATGACCCCATGTGACAGAGTGTAGAACTGCACCCTAGGGTTTTCTTGGCTGTAATCTTTATGGAAGCAGATTGACAAGTCTTTCTCTTGTGGACTTGCTGGGTGGGTTTGAATGCCAACCTTTCTGTTAGCAATTGAACACTTAACATAATGGTTAAGCCACCATGGCTCCTTTATTATTTGTAGTAGCTGTCAATGTAAATGACATTTCTTAAGCACTTTTCCATGGGCCAGAGACTGTCTCGAGCATTTTACAAGCATGCTGTCTGTTTTGGTTACCCAGTGCCACTCTGACAAGAATCTACCACAAATGGGATGGCTTTAACAAAGAGGAGTTTATTCTCTTATAATTTGGAGGCTTTAAGTTCAAGTTCAAAGTGCCAGTCTCTAGGGGCTGGGTGAAAGCCCCTCAACCTTGAGCTTCAGCTCTGCCTCCTGCTCCTGGCCCACTGAAACTGGAGGCTTTCCTTCACTTAGACAGCTGCTGGCTGCTGAGATTGACAAGCCCACGGTTGACAAGTTAAAAGGACAGTCCCAATGTTACCAAACCACATGGCAGGCCACTAATTCAAGTCCAGATGAAGTCCCAAGACCGCCAGGGCATGGTAGGCTGTTGAACAACAACTTGGCTACATGCAGAGTTCAAGTGTGCCAAAAGGCTAAAGACTGTTCCCAAGGCTTCTCCAGGAAGCAGACTACATCCCTAAGGTAGCTACTCAGATGTTCACAGTAGATTCCACCATGGAGTTGATTATCAGCCTCATCATGGGGAATACTATATCCAGCTGCCTAGCCAAGATGACACACAAACATAACTTCCACATTGTCATACTAACAAGGTGGAGAGACCTTGTGACACCAATGCCTTTGGAGGTCTACAAGCAATCCAAGGTGGTAATCTTCTTTTTCTTCAACTTTTCACAGTCCAGTAGAAGTAGGGGCAGAAAGGGTGTCTCAGCAATAGGAGGAGATGTTGTCAAACTCCACTTTTGTCAAACTCCACTTATCTTAGTTCTTCAACACAACCACCCAACAGCAAGCACTCCAGTTGATACCCAATGTATATATCTGTTCTTGCTTTTGGCTGTGGCTGTAGCAGAAACAAGGAACACTTCCTTTCCTCTCCTCACTTCATCCCACCACTTCTCCACCCACACCCACACTCACACCCACACCCACACCCACAGAAAGAGGGAGAGAAAGAGAGAGAGAGAGAGAGAGAGAGAGAGAGAGGATCACAATTACTGTGAGTGTTGCAGTCAAGATTAAATGTTCCTGCAGAGCCTCCTGGCAGAGCAGTGGTGATCTTTTTCTGTAATAGGTATCAGTGCCATTTCAGAGGCAACTCAGATGTCCAAATGCTTCTCCTTGTGACTTGATATCATTTGTTTGTTTGCCTTTCCTAAACTTTGCCCCATAAACATCATCTCCTCCATAAACTCTTTTTATTTTGAAAAGGTGACCCCAGAGAACATGAACCCCATTAGCTTATCACAATGCTTTCTTTTTTCTTCATTTAGATATCCCCAAAACACATACTATTCATTATCAACAAGCTGAAAAGTTGTGCCCATGTTAATACTTAGATTCTCAATCTGATGACTAATTTAGGAATTAAGGACCCTGACACTTGTCAATAGCATATGCTTAGTATGATTAGCCTTGTAACAAAAATGTAAAAACAAGTGTAATACATCATTCTGTCAGGTTCAATTAAGAGTTCTGCTGTGCTGAAGGAAACCTCTTCAGTCACTGACAGCCTACATAAGAATCAGTTAAGCTACATTCTAAACAGGGAAGAGTAAAGAAAGGATTTTGTAAATAAAATTTAAAAAGCTCCTTTTCAAGCTAGCCAAAAACTTTCCTTCCAATTCTATTTTCCCTGAACCCATTCAACAGGTACTAGACTGAGAAAACAAACAATAAACAACAAAAAAAGTACCATGACTAGGCTAGGCTGAGTGTCAACTAAGATTCTGAATGTTTTTCCTCCGCAGATGGCAGATCCCCAAGTTAAAAAACCATACCTGCTTGCTTGGTGGTGGCAAATGGGGACCTTTATCTTGGTTCCCATGAGTAGACACTGAAGCCATGGCGACCTTGGCCTTGCTTTTCTTCTAGTTGTGTGTACTCTGCTCACTTCTTGACCCAATGCCTAAGGGAAATAAAAGAAAATCACTACACTGCGACTGAATGTCTGTATCAACCCTAAAAACAGACTTCATACTGATCACACCAATTTGGAAAACTTACTTTCATTTTCTCATAGATTTTAATTTGCAACCATCTGCAGACTCAGTTTCTAATGTCACTCCTCCACCAGCACACATAAATTAACTCACTAATGGCAACAAGTCAAAATTAGAGAAGAGGGAAATATTACTGTGAACAGTAAATTGTTTTACTACCTATCAATTGTGTTCCTAAAAAATGCTTCAGTTCATTAAAAGGTCAAAACCGAAACCAAACTCACTGCTGTCAAGTTGAATCCGACTCACAGCAACCCCTCCTTGGGTTTCCAGGGCAGTATCACTACAGAAGTAGATTGCCCAGTCTTCCTTCCGAGGAGTGGCTTGTGGGTTTGAACCACCAGCCTTCTGGTTAGCAGTCGAGTGCCTTAGGCACTATACCACCAGAGCGCCCATTAAAAGGTCATTAACTACATAAATATTTACTGAGTGTATAATGAGTATCTATTAGAGCAGGAGATTCAAAGAAGAATGAGATAAAATCACAGTCTTCACAATCTAAAGAGGAAGACAGGTAAGCCAACAGTTATACAACATGAAGAGGGTTCCCCTAGTGGTGAGTACTGTGCTAGGTTGCTAACTGCAAGGTTAGAGGTTCGAGTCCATTGAGAGGCATATTGGAAGAAAGGCCTGGCAATCTACTTCAGAAAACTCAGCCACTGAAAACCCAAAAGAGCACAGTTCTACTCTTACACACATGAGGTCTCCATGAGTCAGTCGATTCAGTGTGGAGGTGAGGACAAGGTGTTAAGGAAGGAGAGAGGAAGAACGGCTACTAGTCCTGGTCAGATCTGACAACACCAAAGACACTCCTTAGCTTTCAAAAGGATCTGTACACGTTAGATGGACAAGAGCATCAGTGACTAAATTGCCAGGCATATGATCTACATTTCACTTTGGGGGTCAGTACCTAATGATACTGTAAGGAGCCTTGGTGGTACCCAGTGGTCCAAGTGCTCAGCAGCAAACCAAAAAGAAGGTCAACAGTTCAAACCCACCAGCCCCTCTGCAGGAGAAAGATGTAGCAGTCTGCTTCTGTAAAGATTTACTGGAAACCTTGGGGAGCAGTTTTACTCTGCCCTATAGGGTCACTAGGAGCCATAATTGGCTGGGTGGTAGTGGATAGTTTTTAATGTTACTGTAGAGGCAGCATATTGTCCTGCATTGGAAAGCCCTGGAGTCAGAAAGACCTGAGTAAAAATGCTGCCTCTATTCCTTGTGAGCCCCATGATTTGGGGGCAAGGGCTGCATGTTCCTGCACCTGTGCTTTCTCGAAGGCACCTTGGGAAGCACCTCCAGGGAACCCTTTTCAGGGATGACTGTTGACCTATCTTTCTCTTTAGACTGTGAGTCCCTTCAAGGCAATTATTTTGTCATATTCTTCTTTGTATCTATCTCCTGTGTAATTATTTGTGTAGTTAATGACCTTACAATGAGTTGACCGCCCCCCACCTTTTTTTTTTTTGCAATCTTGAAGGGCTGATTTGAGGATGAGAGATGAAATTCCTAAAGCCCCAGCTCAGCGCCGGTTCAAAGTGACCGTGCGAAGTTAAAGGCAGCTGTCAGGGTGGCCCTGGGCGCTTTATTTCTCGCGGACCCCCACAATATCGTTGTTGATCTCCAGGTGCTGACCTAAGGCATAATTAAATTACCTTTGCTTACGTAGACCTTAACCTGTTGGTTGCCCAAATTCGGGAAGTAAGGATAGCAAATCTGAGTTGTGGGGTCAGGCCCCTCGCACCGCACCCCACATGCTACATCTGGGATCCCTCTACGTCTCTGACAGGTGGGCAGTGGGAGGCAGGAGCGCTGCGCGAGAGGGAAGATGCGTGGTGGGATGGGGGTCACAGCACTGGCGGGTCAGTGGGAAATCCCGTGATCAGCCTGCTGAAATGTGCCGCTATCCTCATCCAGGGGCCACTAGCAGAAACCCAAAGCTCTCGCCTCTGCCAGGGGGGCGCAAGGATCGGTCGCGGCCGGAGCCCAGTCGAGCGGCGAGCGATTGGAAGGGACGACTTAAGGCGGCCCCGCTAGACTCAAGCGTCATTCGGAATGGCTACCCCGTCCGTGTTCGCCTCCCTAAGGACACCGGAAGTGAAGGGGGCAGAGGAAGCCACCTCCTTCTCACCATGGCCCCCACTTGTTATCCCCCGAGTAAAGGCTTCGTGCGGGGCTTACCTGTGGGATGTGGCTCCCTTCCGAGCCGCGTCTCCCCGGAGCTGAGCTCGCCTCCTTCCGGCTGCGGCTGCAGCCTGGCCTTCTCCCCGCCTCCCTGGGCGTTTGTCCTCGTCCCATTACTCCTCCCTCCAGACTCCGAAGCTTCTCCCCAGCTTCTCTGGCAGTGGCGTCATTAGTGTTGGTGCCACCCAGTGTGGTAACTCATGGTGTCCTTAGTAATTTTTATTATCAATTTTAATCATAGAATAATATATGATATAGTTGTAAATAGCTTACATGTAGTGTTTCCTAGATTATATGAATACTAACAACAAAATTGTTTTGTAAAGTCTTTCTACGAAACAATTTTAATTATTATTAATAATAATTACAACATTATTGGTTGAAACATTATTAATAACTGAGTGAAAAAGCCTTTTTTGATTTTTCTCCTTCCTTTCCTATAATTGCTTCTTCATTCTCAAAAAAGTTATTGATGTAGGTTCACAAATACTAATTACCACAATACTGTAGCTAAAACAGCAGAAAATGGCAGCAATGAAAATAATAGTGGGTGCGTGTGGCATGTGCAGAAACCACGTGTTTGGAAGTGTCCTGCATTAGAAGGTTCAAAAAGTAAATTAGCATAGGCTTTTAGCCGTGTGGGTGTATTGATACTTGTAAACTGGGCTTATGAAAAATGTTTTTGTTGTTATAACTAACTACAGGGATATTTTTATTAAAAAATAAAAATTTTCTGCTGAAATACTGCACAAAAATTTTATAAACAGTCATCATTTTGGTGTCGCGTTCTTTGACAGTGTGGCCTGGTGCAGTCTGCATCCCCACCCCATCCCAGTGATGCCACTGTTCCCTGGCTTCCACCCTTCTTCACCCAGCTTCCTGTCCTTTTTTCTTCATTCTTCTCTTGCTCTGCCTCCTCACTTTCCTGCTTAGCACTTAGTCATTCAACAAGTGCAGGTACACCCCCCACCTCACATTTCTGCCTTATAGTCCCTTTCTCTGTGGGTGGCTTAGGCTGAAACCTAGCTAATGCTGGAAATTTCCCTCTTCATCCCCTAGCCTGGTCCTGTTACCTTGCAGATTCTACCTCCTTAATGTCTTTAAAGTGAACCTCTGCCTCCCAATAACACAGCAACAACCATTTATTTGTTGAACATCTTTTCTGGGCCTGGTTTTTACACTCACTTGCACTTCACTATATTGGACTTCGTAGGTACTGTGTATGTGGCAATCCTGTGTCGAGCCAGTCTACAGTTTCCATTGATCCAACAGTACGCTCTCACTTCATAGCTCCGTGTCACATTTTGATAATTCTCACAATATTTTAAACTTTTTCATAATGTCATTGCACACTTAAGAGACTACACTATAGTGTAAACGTTACTTTTGTATGCACTGGGAAACCAAAAAGATTGTGTGACTCTCTTTATTGCAATATTTGCCTCATTGCATTGGTCTGGAACTGAACCTGCAAGGTATGCCTGCATTGACAATCCTTTTTATAACCTTTTAGGGTAAGTACTGTTACTCTTGTTTTATGGAGAAGCGACCTGAAATGCTTATATCACATGGTGTTTGGAAGCAGCAAACTGGGGACAGCTTGGCTCCCAAGCCTTTTCATTGCTCTTGATCAATTCCCTTCCCTCCTCCTGTCATCCTCACCCTCTGGTGAGATAAACTGCTGGATGCCTTTAACATATCATCCACCCTGACATTAGCTGAGAATTCTCTCTGGGAGGAATAACTGGGACTCCTGGAATGTCCATGTGGAAGAGAGGTTGTGGCTCTTGGTGGAAAGGTCTCATGCTTTCCCATTGGTTTCTACTACCAAAAAACAAAAACAAAAAATCAAACCCATCAAGTTGATTCCGCCTCATAACAACCCCCATTAGGTTACCAAGGCCGTAAACCTTTACAGAAGTAGGTTGCCTCATCTTCCTCCTGAGGAGCAGCTGATGGGTTTGAACTGCTGCAACAAAATGCCTTACGCACTATGCTACCACAGCTCTATGGTTCCTGTTCCACAGGATCCTAATTGGTCTCTATTCCTCTAGCCTCATCCCTCCACACTACTTAATTCCTCCATCAGTCCCTCTCTTTACCCACACTGGCCTCCTTTCTTTCCT